CGACATTGGTTCAATCATTTCGAGAAAAAAAGAAGAAAAAAAACGCCTATAACTGACAAAATAGGAAATTGGTTGTTTTTTCACTAAGACAACGCCTAGACCCCACTCTTCCTATTCACCAAACCAAGCTCCAAGTGACTTCTACTTATTCCGTTCTCTTCGAAATTCAATTAACCAAAAATATTTCCAAAATGAACAGTACATCATTTGATTATTTATTTATTTATTATTTATTTGACAATAAACATCAGATGTTCTATGAAAGTGATATTATGCAGTTGGTGTAATTATGGGAATAGTTCATACTAATTAATGGTAAATACATTATGGATTAAAATAAACGTTATTTCTTTAATCCACTGATGTTATTATATCCCGAAAGAGCGAAAGGATTTATTTTCCAACCGATTTTTTACAAGAACATTTCAATTGATGTATGTTAATATTGGTATCCATGTTCTGAATGATGTATTTTATTATTTACAAGAACATTTAATTGATAAAAGGTATCTATATATTGGTGTCCATATTCTGAATGCTGTGTATTATTTTCCTGAAATGTTTTGATATTGTATTCCTAGGATACCTTCATCTAATTATAAAGAAATGTCAACATTGGATACTAATATATCAGGATGTTTGTATGTTTAGTCCTTTTGAGTAATTAAAAATCTTGTTTGAAAATTAAATACATTTTTTGACAACTGATTTATGTTGTCCTTGTGTCACAAATATACAACTAAAACATGTCTATTTCAAATGGTTACTCAAATAACCGCTTTTCACAATGACAATATTGCTAATTAAATGCTAACGATTGTTATCTGTTAATTACGTTCGGAAATTATCTGTATTGTAACGGAAATGGAAGCAATTTAGTCGAGAGTTGTTAGTCATGTATTACGGCATAACATAATATGTCCTAGCCAACTGAACATGTTCTATGATCTAGTCTATATCACTTGGGATGTTACATGACCAATGATTTAACGCACAATCATAGAGTACGTTTATATAAATGCTGTTTTAATTAATAATGTAGCATTATATAGTCCATACAATACTCAACTATACTGAATAATTAATACGGATGGGAATTTCCTTTATAAATTCTGGTAAGCGAATTTAATTGGGATAAATAAATAAAAATTAACATCTGGAAATTTTAAATGAAAAACTGAGCTTTGTGCAGACTGACATGCCCTTTAATAGATGAAAAATAATGTATAATTTTAGGAGACCTGAGGAGATTCAAAAAAGTTCCTACTAACCATTGTCCGATTTTTAGCAGAAAAGTAGGAAATTCAGGTTTCGTATTTTGTTAAGTAAGGCACGCTTTTGTTGAATAGGGAGTGAAAACTAAAAAAATACTTAAGTTAAGTAATTAAAAATTGCTCCTCGTAGACTGGACAAAATTTAATTCAAGCGAAAGTATAGTTTGTCATTGCTAGAGCCATTTATAGAAGATTTTTAAGCGGCTTAACTTAGCTAAGCTCTGTTTAAAAAAAAAAAGAAAATGTGTTTAATTAAACGAGGCGTTATTGCGAAATAAGTTGAGTAAAAAAAAAGAGATGATTTGATATGCTCAATTCACCTGGAAGTATACATTCAAAAATTATACAGCAAAATTTAATTATAATAATAATAATAATAATAATGCTTTATTTATTCTGGGACGAGTCCTTTTAGAATAATATAGTAAGACAATAGTGTGGCCTAAGGAGCCTTAGAGATACATAAACAAAAATATAGAGTAATTAAATAGTCAAACTGAAAAAAAAAAATAGAAAAAATTATAAGTTACTAATTTAGATCAGTTAATAATAAAAAACAAAAAAATGAAAATAAACATGTAATAAAAATAATGAAGAACGATAATTTATATACATTTTACAGTAGTAACTATTTACAATTTTAGGGGGACTGGATGGATAAGAGATGATTGAACAGGCGGGATTTAAAGGTAGGAAAGGTTTTGGATTGACGAATGTGTGGAGGGATGGAGTTCCATAGGGATGAGGATCGGATAATGAACGATCTGTCGAAAGCAGCGGTTCGGTGGGCCCTAATGTATAAATCCGAAGACCGTGAACGAATATTGCGGGAACGAACGGAGGATTTGAATTGAAGGAGCTCGGAGATGTATGAAGGACGGTGGGATTGGATGACTTGAAAGAGGAAGGATGCCAGGAAATACTTGCGACGGTAGGAAGGATAAAGCCACTTCAACTCTGCATAAAAACGAGAAACAGAGGCGTCCCTTGGGATCCCGAAGATGAATCAATTTATCAAATGTTTTAATTTCGTCTCGAGATCTCCATACACCGTACAGCGATAGTCAAAGTGGAGGAAAATTAAAGAAGTTACTAGGAGCCTGCGGTAAATGTACCAAATAATTAAATATACAGATCTTTTCAGATGTTAATGGCCGAACTCTAAGGCGAAAGAGTTAAGACCAATTTTGTATTTTAAGGTTTATTATTAAGTTAGTCACGGATTTAATTGAATAAGAAGGAATTGCTCAAAACTGTTCAAGATAATTAAATTTTAAGTACACCAATTTTTTATTTATTTTTTTTGAGTAAACTGATTAAACTTACTAAGGTCGATGATAAAAGGACTTTAAATTTACTAAGATAAAATGATGAAAGGGACTTTCAGGAGGTCTAATACAGCCGCTGTAGGAAGTGCAGTAGCTCAGTGGTAGGGCACTGATCTTCCAAGCTCAAGGTTCCTGATTCGAATCTCCGCTCAAGGCAGAAAAATTATTTACTCTACTCATCAGCCATGGGGCGATCCTCCTGAGGCACAGAGAAATAGTACTGGAAATAATCCCTAAATAGCACTGAACCCAAGAAACATCATGCGTTGTAGTGGTACAGGTTTTTTATTTATTTTTTTTTTCACAGCTTTGTACTACTGCATTTACTGTACCTATACACGAGCAGAATATTTCTGTACAGTGGCCGAATTATACCTCCTGAAAGTCGCAATTATCATTGACTCATTAAAAAGTAACTTAAAAAAAATATTGTACATCTCATTAATTTAATATTATTATTACCATTTCAAAACTCAAATTAAAAAAAAAGAAGTACTAAATGTATTGCGTTGGAGTACTTTAGTAATGGTAGCTATAGATGGTTAACCTCCGAAGCCTGTTCCAGTTAGATTGCGAGCTCAGCAGGTTTAGGCTATTGTCTCGGACTTATCAGGTAACAGGCTCTTTTCAGTCTATACAGGACTGCCGCGGGACCCATTTTCTTTTGAAACTATTATCATTACCCAACCCCTTTTGGTTAAATCCTCAATTAGACACCTCACTTTTTTGTTTGTTTTTTTATTTTTAGAGGAGGGAAAGAGGAGGGTGATAAATGCGTTGTTGTAATTCACACTTAAGTTTCTGAATCATGCACACTTTTTTTTATTTTATCATTTAGGGATTCTATTTTCCCCTAGCAGCTTTTCATCACAGCATCATATTTGTTAAAATTGGCTTTAGGGCGTATGCATATATTTTTTTTATCTTCTAAACTTATAGTAAAAAAAAAGTTGATATAATATATCATTATATTATAATAAAAAAATATTTAATGATCATGTTTACATATTTAATTACAGAGTGAATTAGGTGACAAAACAGGAATATTTTTAAATTCAGTGAGAAATATATAGAAAGATTTTTCCAACGAAAAAAACATATTTTTTTACTTTTTATTTACTGAAACGGAAATTGCGAAAAATATAGGTATTCCTATATTTATTATACCTATGATATCTAAAATATAGTCCCTGTATGCTTAAATTATAAGTCTAATGAAATAATGAAGCAAAATAATTTAAGCGTGATTGAATTAAGTAAATTATTTTTCAATAAATAGACCATCTAATGCGGTAAGCATTTTTATTTACATCGCGCTACGACACTTAAGTACAGAGCAGTCAGTAACCATAAACGTCAATCAATGTATAATACTGTACTTGAGACTCAAGGCTGTCACTAAAAATAAAGCGAATGGACAAACTTTTAATCATATAGGAGTCGAGCTAATAGAAGATTGTTTTTCTTAATGTCAATTATATGTTGTCATCTAGATCAGCTTGCGAGGAAAACCATAATTTATATCATCTTCGTTAACTTAAACTTAAAAAAACTTAAAATTATATATTTATATATTATTTTTGATTGGTGTATTGTTTTCCAAATAATTTTCTGATGTTAGTAAATGTTCCTTTATCCTTATTCCTGTAGATTAACCTGCCATGTTAATAGATATTAATCTAAATTAGCCGCGAGGCTTAGCTAGAAAACTTAAATTTATGATAAAATATGGGATTCTCTATCGACCGTGTTAAGACTATTTTCATTATAATTTAATAATATGAACGATCAACATACGGGGTTATCATAACAAATCATGGAGTTATTTACATTAAAGTGTAATTAATTTTCAGTCCTAGAAATTATTAGTTTTTACTAATTAATAATTCAAATCCTCGCTTTTCCCTCCACAAGTGTGGTGAAAAATCTGGTTCGGAGTTCCCATGGCCGATTGTAAATAATGTAAATAGGTATGCCTGCGTCTAAGATGTTTATTTTTATTTTATTTTTTTTTTAAAGAACATTTAATTCTATTTTATTTATTTTAATTTTATTATTACTATTATTATTATTAATTTCTTCCCTCATTATGATGTTTTATTTTGTTCTTATTTCGCTGTATATTATTTTGAAATTACCTTATTTATTTTTTGATTTTGTAAATATGGTGTGAATGTGTTCTCTGAACTCCATTATAAGTGTCCTTAATTGAGACAGTTTGTAATATTTATCGATAAACAAGTATTCTAAAAAAATTTAAAACAGAATAAAATACTGTATCATTATGTATGACAAGATTTTTAAAATCAGGACTTCATGCCTTCATTGTTTTAGTTTCAAATTATTATTTATATAAATCACGGTGTTATATCACTACCTGTAAAAAAAATCCGTTGCAATGAGGAAAATCGTTTGCTGTTTTCCCTCAGAAATCCTTCGTAAACTGCAAATTAACGATCACGATCCTTTAACAATACAAAGAACTCTTCCAAGCTACCGATTCTCCTTGATCCTTCGACACCTGAGGGGTTGGAGTCCTTGCGAAGGTTCCGTCAGCGGATGTAATTGTATCGTATAGCTGCAACCTTGGCTTGTCAACTTTATATTGCCTTATCCGATGTGGCTTGGTAACCATCCGTCGTTACTTGGAATTATTAAATTCCTGCTTCAATAGCACTAAAATATCCTATTTTAATTCAAGATTTTCCCAAGAAATAAAATCAATAAAGCATGAAATTTCCAAATATTTAATGAATCTAGAGGGGGAGGTCGACTTACTGAAGTGGCTCATTATGAACTATACGTTATGATTGGGAGACATATTGATTAGAACTGCGCGTATCTCGTCTACTTTATCCTCTGGATTATTGAAAGTGAATGCCGAGGAATAAAATATTCTCTAGAAGGAATCTTGAGGAAAGGAAATCATCACATTGTACTCATACTATCTTCTAAAAAAAATAAATAAATTGAGTTATAATCTTTAAATAAATTGAACTTCTGGAACCGTTCTCAAAAAAAAAAAAATATATATATATATTTACCGAAGTTTTTGTCACTTTATTCAGTATTGGAGTTATCTATACATTCATTCAAAAGATAAGAATGTATTATGACAACTAGGATTTTTTGGATTTGTGAAAGTATTCAAGTTGATGAGATTCCTATTGACGAGGTCTGACTATAGTTCGATTATGTTTCAAAAGCGAGTAACAGGACGAAAGTACTGAAGTTAGAGGGAATCAAATTGGAAACAGATAGCATATAATTGTGGAAGAGTGCGCCAATTATTGTTTTATTAATCTGGAAGGATAGCTGTCCCCTAAATTTCTTTAAGAATATGATTAATAGCAACTTCAACTTAGTGGTGTCTTCTTTTTTATATTACATATCTGTGGCACTTGTGAAAATTATGTCAAATGCGATTTTGTGAATTTTTATAGTTATCACCAGAAAGCTATTTGTCTCCCTTTCTTTGTGTCTAATGGGCTAAGTTATGTGACTATTACAGAGATGAATATTCCTTTGTGAATCTTGGGGCGAAACTCGAAAATTGAACTTGCATCTGTGAAAATTAAAAATGTTCAATTGATTTTTTTCTACAAATATAATTTTTACACTTGACGCACTATGCACAGGTGCCATAGATATATTTATGGATGGCAAGTTAGTTGAGGGTTGTTGTCACACCCAAAAACAGGAAATAAAAATTGTGAATACAAACCTTTCCAAATTTGAATCTGTTACACCTGAGTAGTCTGATGAAGCCTATTCTATAATTCGGATTCAACGTTCAACTGTTCCTCAGCCTTAGTACCCGGCGGTCGTCCTGGACTAGTGATCTTCAAGGAGACCGCCGATGGGGAAAGAAGCAGTGACTCCGTGAAGTGAAGCGATGAGCGACCTGGAGGATAGCTCTTGAGGTTACAGTCTATTGCTCGAGCAAGGAAGACGTGCCCTCATCTTCTTCCAATCTTATTACAGCTCTCGGGATTATCAAGTACTCGGTCTTCGGAAGATTCCTATTATACTCGAATATAAAAGAACCCTTCAAGGGATAAAGGGATTGTGATAAATTAAAATTTCGTCTTATATTGGCTTTCTCTATTCATCTGTACTTCGGAGGATTGGGCGTCTCTCCTATTACTATTCTCCTAGGGTTCTCATTTTATATTTAATTATCTAGGATATGGGTCCTAGAAGAACGGAGGAGCATAAAATAAGGCATTTCTATGAATACCTAATATTCATTCAAGGAAGTGCAATAAAGGAAAATAATGTAAATAACCTGAATTCAATTATCTAAATGGAGGATTCTAGTATTTGCATGCTTTATATCACGATATTTTTATTTTAAAAGATTTCTTTATAGAGTTATATTTTATTTGTTCACATTTAAGACATTTAAAAAATAGTGATAGAGTAACACATTCACACTTTGTGAATAATAAATAAAAATTAAATAAAACAACAGCAAAATAATAATAATAAAAATAAATTAAATATATATATTTTTAAAGGTTTTATAAAAATTTTATTTATGATATTTACAATTGTATTACAAATAAAAATACATCCAGTAAATGTGAACACAAATATATAATAACATGAAACCACTTATTGGGAAACTACCCACTGGTAGCACTCTAAGAATGTATTTACAATAAAAGATCTCAAGGCCATCTTCTTTTCAGACGCCTCTGGTTATCAGGGATCGAAGAGGAAACAAGGTTAGAAACGAGAGGGTTTGGATGGTTCTAAAGTTTGTTATGGAAGGATAGATATCTGGATTGTCTGGAACATAGCAGTAGAAAACACAAAAACATAAGGAACATTAAGGTCGTGGATGATTTTATTTGTGATAATGTAAGGAGCATTGAGGATTTATCGAAGGTTTTGGGATTGTAAGGATTGGATAAGGAAGAATTCGATGGCTTAGTGGAGCTCATCTGAACTCCGTAAGGCCAAATAGGTCTCATTGTAGTCATGTATATGTGTCTTTTGTAAGTAACTGGAAGCTTAGAGCGTTTGTCTAGTTAAGTGCTGGAGTAGTCTGAACCGTCGAGCTGTTTCTTGTCGTTTCAGTCTAGTATGATGATTCGAAGTTAGGTTTGTCCAATTAAATAAACTTAGTCTAATCAATATAACAAAGGGAATACAGTAATACTAATATATAATATTTACAAACATTTATTCAGGAGAACTGCTAACCAAGCTTCCTCTCTCCCTGTATATTAAAGGTAAAGCAGTGAAGATAAAACTCTAGGAGATCTCAACGCCTCTCTCCCAGCCGGGTCAATGGGATAAATAACCAATGGAGGCTGAGCAGAGCCTCTATAACCACAGAGGTACATGGCATGAGTGAAGAATCTGCTCATTGCCGAAACTCCATTATATGCATATTAAAAAAATGTCACGCGGCCATTGCCGCTTCAATCTTCGGTGAGGATTGTTGGGATGGGTGGAGGGCTTGATAGAGATTGTGCAATTAGATTTGGTTAATTGTTCACATCCATGATTTCCGCGTTATAATCATCCACAATAATCGGAATCGTACAACTTTTTATCGATATTTTTAAAAATAGTTCTTTACAATAATTTCTTCCTTCTCATATAGGTCGTTATTATTTTGAAATAATACTCAATAACTATCTGGAATAATTGAGTAATTGTTATCATTGTAGATCGCTATTATGTTTGTAAATACGTAACGAAAATTGTCTATTATTTTTTCTTCAATATTTCTATAGCAAAAGTCATGCTTGAATCGTTCAAATGCTAAATTCCATAGCGTGCTGTTTAGATCAATTATAGACCTAATCCGCTGAGCTTTTCGATGTTATAAAGAATTCGACTGTTATTCAATAGACCCAATTTTCACATCCTTGATCATCGTTCCTACAATTTCTTAAGGTTTAATAGATTTTGTTTTTTTTATGCTTATTTGTAAGTTATCATTTAAGTCAAAGGAGTGATTTAGGTTTCTTTATATATTATTTTTTAAATTAGCATTGTTGTACCTGAATATTGTATATGGAATACTTTCAAGATTCACTTCTCATGTATGATAAATTAAAAAAACCTGTATCATTGCGAATCAATGCTTTTGAATTTATAATCGCAAGGAAGCCCTTTTTCTTGGCCAACGGTTCTGAGAAGACGTGATTTTACCAGAATAACTTTCAACTGCCAGGTTTTCCCCACTCCATTGAATGTTACAGGTAGGTAAAAAGCTTAAAGAGCTTCCTACTGAGTGAAGCTAATGCCGGTAGGTTGTACTAAATGAGGGGAGAGCTCCTTTTCCCCTCTACATAACTTGAGGCTGTAGGTTTGAGATGTCTGGATTACAGGGTTATTGTAAAACATATTTGCCGATGTTTTACTCGAAACTCGACACTCGAACATGGGATTGAGAATTTAGTCCAATACTTTACCTACTGAGGCTTAAAACTATAATTTTTTAAGTGTGTGAACGTTGTACATTCGTTACTTTCACATGGTGCCGACGATATTCCAATATATTTTAATATTCCAAGAAGAGGGCCATTTGCTGGACGGCCGCCGGACAGATGAGGCGAAGAAGGAGAAAATGGAGGCCGAATAGTAACGAGCACATGATGCCAATGCTGTGATCGCTATGATCGCTAGATGTTGATTGGCAACATTTGCACCCCTCGCAAATTTTCCGACACCCGTTTTGTCCGAAGCCAAGGAAGAGTAAATAAATAAATGGTGCCGACGATACATACTTTAAAAATTTAAAATTCTTAATTTTTTAACATCAGATCCAGTCACACATTGAATATGTATGTTGTATTTCGTCCTTTCACGTTATGGAAGGTGTTAGTTTGCCTTAATGTCTTCCTTAATTACTACAATGTCACTATAATACAACTATACCCAAGCCGCAATCACCTTAATCATAAACGGCATGTTGACTTAAATGGACTTCTGTGGACGCTTTATCAGCCCTAGTGTCGTAATTCCAGGAACAGATCTCGCTTTCATTCCCTCAACTGCTTCATTCACCTGGAAGATCTCAATCCCTTGTCCATTCGCCGTGAATTGCCATATTATAAAGCTGCATTCACAAATTTCACGATCTATGGGAAATGGCTAGTGTTTAAATCCCAATGTGTGCAACCGTTTTTTCTGCTGTCTGTTATCCAACAGAAATCAAAATCTTTGATGAATTTTATGGATTCTTTCATTTTCTCTTTTGTTCCTTTTTTTAGAAATTACAATACGTTTAAACGGTCCCATTGTCCCTCATGTTTGTTCCTCTGAAAATAGTAAAGCAACTATAATCCCAGTTCCTTTTTGTTGTTGTTTTGCGTCTGTTTTTGCTTCTGGTGTTTTAAAAATGTGTAATTCCGGCTTAAGATGAAATCAGAAATGATGCTTGTTTATAAATTTTGATACATGTTCGGCCGCATGACAAAAATTCGCCATTTATATATTACAGAAAATAATTGTTTCTTGTACTTTTAAATTCGCTGAACGTGTGAAAACGTACCGGACGAATATGTCTTAATATAGACAGAGTCAGGGAGGGGTGCCCATCCCTCCTAATGTCGATGGCGCAAGAACCTATCCCTCTCTCCTACCAAGACATTTTATTGCTCGCCGTTTCTTAATAACATCAAAATAAGAAAAATCAAATTCGCTGAAGTCTGTCCCATTTTTTCCTCTTGTCGTTCCTTAGTCCAAAACTCAAAACTTCATCGAAATTTGCCCCTCTCAAAAATGTCGATGGCGCAACCTGCGCTATTAAAACCTACTCTAGGGTTCATTCGTGTGAACCATGAAAAAGACTCCACTACTTTGAGTGATTTGTTTAAAAGAGCTGTTCGGACCAAGGTTAGGAAGCTATGTAAAGTAGCTTGTTATAAAATTGTTGCCTTCAACCGCAGAAAAACGTAGTGACGTTTGAGCAATTTATGCCATACTTTTATTAAATTTTCATCTAATTATAACTAATACCGAGTAATAAGCTTTTACTGAGTACAAAAAAAAAGTTTTAATTAAAATTCAAGCAAGTTATGAACGATTTACTAATAAGGATCCCAGACTATGCGTCAGGAGGCCAACCAACTACGCTCCGGAAATTCCTTAATACTGGCACTCTTCGACATTCCTCTCAGAGCTTTGTTCCTTCAGTCCTTGAAATATTTTACTTTTGGAATATGTTTACTGTCCATTGTTTTATTAATTTTGGTTACATTTTTTAAATAAATAAAATATAACGTATTTAAGATTTCAGTTTTAGTAGAAATAAAATTTAAATAAATTTAATAACCTTCAGAATATTATTTTAATTATTAATACAAACCTTCATAATCAATACGAAGTAAGAAAATTCTGTGATTCATGTATTTTTTGTTTATCGAGGTGGATATAAGTTTTTAAGTTTTCCATTTATTTTCTTCAGAAGTCAATTTTGTTTCTATTGAATAAATAATAAACAATAAGAATAAAAGTAAACAGCATTAATTGCAACAATGTATTTATTTATTTTTATTTTGGTGCCTTTACCCATAAGGGAGTTTTTAAAAATATATTTCCGTCATTATTTAGTTTTTCTTTCAATTTTTGTGTCATATAAAATTTTTCAAGGTATTTTTAAATTTAGGGCAGTCATGAATAACATTTTTTAATGTTCGTTATTACAGCTTTACATATTCTGGGTTCTAGTCTTCTTAATAAGTATCCATTTCAAAATTAACAGTTCTGAATCGTTAACCGCCAGAAAACAGTTTAAAGTCAAAACTGTTTTAATAACAATTTAAATTCAGATATATTTAAGCCTTTCAGTGGACAGAATGACTAACTCCAATTTCAACATTTTTTATTTTTAATTTTAGTGATATTTCTTGTATATAGGTA